ATGACGATGTTGTCAATTCTGATCAGTCTTGCGTTGATTTTTCCTGTCTTGGTGCAGCCAGCACCGGAGATTCAGCTTCCAGATGGCAAGGTGCAAGGTAAGTGGTCAAATCTAAACATGTACTACATAATTCTCTCTCTGTTTCTGTCTCTCTCTCTCTCTCTCTCTCTATCTCTCTCTCTCTCTGTCTCTCTCTCTCTGACTCTTCTCTCTCTCTCTCTCTCTCTCTCTCTCTCTCTCTTTCTCTATACAGGAGAGAGCTTGCAGTTTGGACAGGTTGGCATTCAAATGGAAACTATGATGCATGGAACAATTGCAGACGCGTTCCACCACATACTTCTTATAGGCCTTTGGCCTTCTTTCTCAAAAACCACTGGCATTGAGACCGAGAAGATGAAGAAGCGTAAGAAGAAGAGCAAGAACAAGAACAAGAAGAACATGATGATGTTACTGATGATGAATATAAATAATCATCATAAGAAGAAAAAGAAAAAAAATTTTTGTATTGTAAGTATAAATTTACAAAGCATTCTTTATCTACAAATGTCCCGTTTGTTGTCTTCCATTTGTCATTGCAGACTAGTTCCTCATCATATTTCATATTTTCTATTAGCCCATATATGTATCTTCAAAATGATAATTCATTCAATAACACATGTTGCAAATTAATTAAACGGTAGCTCAATTTGTGTATAAATCTACTCTATAACAATTGTTACCATCGACCGGCCTCACCAGCCTCACAAAAACGGGAATTCCCGTTTGAGCTGTAGGTCTTATATCTGAAGATAGCCCTGATTTGTATAAAATAAATTCAGCATTGTATTTCCAACAAGCCTAATAGAGTAGAAAAAAGTGCTTTACTGTTACAATTTACCAAACGCGCTACATGTTTTGTGAAGGAATCCTCCACTTTCTCCAGGTGTCGACAAGCAAGCCCAAGCCTCCCAGAAGCCCTACATCGCTTTCTATGGAATCCCCTTCGCCAAGCCCCCGGTCAACGAGCTCCGGTTTAAGCCACCTCAACCATTTGTTGGAACTGGGCCAGATGTGGTGATTTCTTCAGACAAGTAGGTTCAACTGTTTCTTTGTCTTGATGATTAATTATAGACCCTGACAAGCTAGGTGTTGTAAGGATGCCTTAGTTGGGAGTGAACAGTTGGTTAGTTAGTCTTTCGGTTAGTTCGACGTTAGTCTCACCAAATAGAGTAGGTCCCTTTTCATTCACAAGTTTGTTGGGCTGGTCGACTTTCCTGAAGGTTACGGGTGTGTACCGCTCTTTTGTTTTTTTCTGCGATGTTTTTCATTTCCGTTTTCATTCCGAGAAAAAGAATGCCTGTTACATATGTTGCAGTACTCTCTAGGAGGGTTGTGTTAGACCCAGTTTCTCCATGTTTTAAGAGTGTTGAAAGCAGTGGCGTGCTAAAATATACAACAGGCGATATCAACGGCATTGCGGAACACCCCCGTAACTGTGTGCGAAGTTACGGGGCTCAGGAACTACCACTCAGAAGTGAGCTAGTGTGTATATGAGCGGGGTCTGGGGAGACTTACGTCGAACTAACCAGTCTTTCCTCTAGAGCCTATAGAGGCACATATGGCAGAGGTCATAGCTCTCCGTGTCTGGCGGTTTGTTGCCACCTGCTTTAGGTCTTGGGTGTTTGTTATGCTCATGATTGAGCCTTCTCTGATGATTGTTTTACGTAGAGTCTCTTTTGGTCTTTCCCGTTTTCTTTTTCTTTTCGGTGTCCATATGAGGACTTGATGGGTGCGATGTTGGTCTCTTGGTGTGCTCTGGCCGTTTCCTAGGGAATTACACTTTGGTTGATACACATGAAAAATTGACGCACACATATGGTTTTGAGGAGACACAATCGCAGTTTATATTTTTATCACTCATAGAAGACATAGGTCCAGTCACCGTCAGCTGTTCTCTAAAGGTTAGTTGCGTATCCTTTACAGGGCGTTGCAGAACCAACCCTAACAGCCCCTGGCTGTTGTGTGGTTTTTCTAGGCTAATTGACATCCAGTACTTTGCCATTGCCTACTGGACGGTCGGCTTTCTTGATACCACTGTCAAAACCAACGCAAGGCGGATAGCCCGCAGCTGGGATCGAACCAGGCATCCCGGCATTACGAAACCACAGAGCCGACCAGGTGTTCTCTAGCATGTCCAAATATTCAACAGGTAACAATGAGAAAGTTCCTCACCGCTTTTCACAATCATTTGCGTTCGCTACCTTTGCAAATTTCACAATCGCGCCACGTGTACAGGTCTCAAACAAGCATTTCCGGCTGTTGGCTGTTCAGCTCCACAATCAGGCTAGCTGACCGACACGAAGCTGGGCACATGATATGAGTGACTCCTTGAGTATGAAAGTACATGAGGCGGGAGAGATGGCAAGAGACCGAGTTTCTTTCAGGCAGACTGTGATGGGAGTGACGTTCTGCAAAGGACCTACTACATGATTTGTGTGTGTGTGTATGAATGTGTGTGTGTGTGAGTGTGTGTGTGCGCGCGTGTGTGTTCCTATTTTCATCTTGACGTTAATTGTTTATACATACATAATATTAAGACTACCTAGTTGTATCGAACCAGTGGTTTACCCCCCCCCCTCCTTCTTTTCTGCCCAATAACTTGTATAATTTTAGTTAGGCAACAAAAGCAATTTCACAATACCGACGTGAGTTACCACAACCCTAACCGAATAAGTTATGCCTTTTCATCCTGTGTGGAAACTTTGAGCACACTCATTTCACATCATGTTTTCACACTTTCCGCCCAGCAGTTGTGCTAGTATTCAAAATTTACGGTAAACATAAGAAACACGCATTTGTGTAAAGGTCGATGGTTACATTTGAACTTTGTGCTGTATAACTCTTTAAAGGCAATCCAGCAAGGACCATCATGTATTTATATATCTTATATATAAGAAGCAACAAAAACAACAACAAAAAGCATTCCAATTACTTGTTTTGAAAAAAAAAGGATTGGGGGGGGGGGGGGGAGGATCTGAAACGTTGAGATTGAAAATAAAAATATTAACACAGCGCCCTGGGGAGACGCGACCTCTTCACAGTGGCGCCGCGAAATATTGTAAAAGCTTCACAACTAATTTAACCAAGACACGAATAGTCATACTTAGGTTACAGCGCTGTGGAAAAGTTTTAATTGATAAAAGAGCCCGGCTCTCTAGCGTAGTTGGCTAAACCGGACTGCGCAGTGACCGGGTGACGAACACCTTGTGGTCCGGGGGTACACAGGAAAGCCACATTTCTCCCAGATTGACGGTATTTACAATGGAATCAAGGCCGAAAGGTTGCGATATCCATAATACCGAGCCTAAGGGTTAACAACTCATGGCTTCTGGATACTATAAAAAAAAAAATTGATAAAAGGCCCCGCGACTAAGACAAGTTTGGGAAACACTGTACTAATATAGAATTTTATCTATTTATTTTCCTGTATAGCTGAGATATAATTTTGTGAACATCGGCACGAATTTGTAAACGTACTTCTTCATCTTCCTAAAGTCCATGCCGTGTGATGTTGGTAGTCACGTCTACCCACAACCTTCTGTCTCATGTACTTTCACTCAATTCTGACACAGATGATCTTCCATAGTCCATGTCATGTGGCGTTGGTAGTCATGTCTATCCACAACCTTCTGTCTCGTGTACTTTCAGTCTACTCTGACACAGATGGTTCTCCATGTCGTGATGTCAAACTGTCAAATATCTGTTCTCTTGATCTCCCTCTGCCTCTCCTTCCCTCCAACTTTCCTACAGTCACGATGTACTCCAGTTTTCTCCTTCTCATCACATGACCAAACAATGTAGAATGTCTCTTTTTGATCTGGGCAATCAGTGCTCTTCGTGAGTCAAGTTTTTATTCCAAGACAGGCTCATTACCCCGTTTAAAAAAAAAAATATGTCTAGGATATTCTCATCATTCACATCTCCGCAGCTTCCAAATAATTTTTCACCAATCTTTCAAATGTCCATGATTCACTTCCATATATCAAGATAGTATTTATGCAGCTTTCAAGAATACTCTTTCTCGTCTCAACTGACAGAGAAAGATTGCATAAAATGTTCTTCAGTTTGTAAAATGCTGCCGTTGCTTGAACATAACAACAGTTGATCCTGTTGACACAAGTCGACCTAAATCCTGTTTGTGTCCCCAGGTTCCGACCGGCATGTCTTCAATCGTGGCCAGACCCCAGCAAGGTGATCAACGAGGACTGTCTCTACCTCAACGTCTATACTCCACCAGACCTGACCAAACTCAGGAAGGTAATCTTCTTCTTCTTCGTCATCGTTGTCGTCTTCTTCTTCTTCTCAATAAAACTCGTTCGTTCTTTCTTCTCGTTCGCCGGCTATAAACTTCAGCGGAAAATTCGGGTTGTTCAGTCTACTTCTGGACATTAGTCTTTTTTCTCAGAACCTGAGTGTTGTGTGCACATCTGTTTGACAAATCTGGCTTATCTGTGTGCAAACTTTTTGTTCCTTGCCTCTGAGGCAGCTGCATTGAGAAAACTAATTAGTCGACTTTTACAGTGCATGTTGGGAGGTAGTGGGTCAATTCCCCCCCTCCCCCGAAGCCAACCAGGGAACTAGATATAATAACAATAATAACAATATTAATACTAATTATTGTGCACTTAAACAAAAATTAAGTCCCTCAAACCCCTGTCCATAAAAAACTAAAGCCACCCCCTCCCCACCGCACCCCAACCCCTTTTTATTCGTTTCGTATGTTTCTCAAATATAGTAATATACTTTTCTGCAATCTATTACACACTAGTTATGATTGTGCACTGAAACAAGGCTTAAACCTTCTGTGCCTCGCTATACACGTTTAGGCATGACAAACAAGCATTTCGATAATTTGTCTTTTTTTTACGTCTAGGTGTTTTTAGACACGAGAATGTAATTTTTAATGTATGTGCATGTAGCTTTAACACTGGTTATGGACATAACGCAACGACGTTGGGGATAGGCCTCGGTAGACTGGTGCGAGCACCTAGTGAGAAAGACCTTTTAAATCCCCATAGCCAAAGTTGTTCTTTCAAACTCTGTCTGTGCCACTCTGCCAACTGCCAATGTCTATCAGATAAACGTCTGTTCGATGAACCAACCGTCAATTTGTCCCTGTGGTCGTGCAGGCAGGCACCTAATTTGCTACCACAGCAATGAAACATTTCACTATAATTTCAGTAAGTAAGTAAAGTAAAGATCCATTTTCACGCCTTGAGGCGCATTGGGCATATGGGAAGAGCACCCATATTTTTTCACACCAATAGGCACTCGGTGGGTAATGTGGTCAGCATTACGCCGGCCGTCTTTACTTCCCCAGGACAGTCCGAGGCCTGGGAGATTGTCTAGGAAGGATAATGAGCCGAAACAACTGTCGACGAGGGACCCAGCTACTGATGGTCGGTAGACTCCTGTTGTGCATGCTCCAGCTGTGGAGTTCTTATTATTTTGTTATTTAACACCAAACTTTGTAAACTGATGCAGTGTCGTCTCCGCAACCTTTAGGTGATGTTCTGGATACACGGAGGAGGCTTCAAACAGGGGGACGCGACGCAATACGTGCCTTCCCAGTTGGTCACGGACAAAGACGTGATTGTGGTCACCACACAGTACCGACTGGGCATCTTCGGGTTTCTCACTTCACAGAATGGAGATGGTTAGTTGTCTGGTTTTCTTTGACTCGTCATCAGCACCGTCATTGTCGTCTTCGACGTCATTATCTTTAGCGTCAGCATCAACATGTGTTATGTCGATAACCATAGGTAATCATAGCTCGCTTTCTAACATTATCATCACAGTTATGGAGAAGATATATGTTCTTGTCTCGCTCTAGCCGTATAAATACGACTGCGATAAAAAAAAAAAAAAAAACTAACTAACTGAGACCAAGTTTAATCTGCTTCTTTATAAACATTGGTTATATCAGTGGTCTTTGGTGTTTGCGAGTTTTCTCGGTTCTCTTTTATGCTTGATCGGGCTTTACGATATTAGGTTTTTGCCATCCTCCTCAGTCGAGAACCTCCGGACCGCTGAAGTTTTCTCTGCTGAGGGGGAGGAGGAAAAGGAGGAGAAGAAGGAGGAGGAAAAGGTAGAGAGGGAGGAGGAGGAAAAGAAGACAAAGGAGGAGGAGAAAGAGGTGGGGTTTTGAAGTCCTCATACACTCGTTTTCCTGTGCTGCTGCTGTTTGCTGTTTACTTCTTTGTATGGGCTGGTCTTTTCTTCTTCTTCTTTTTGTTCTTTTCTTTGTCTGTTATGCATTTCACCTGAGGTTACTACCAGTACAGTCTACGATGGTTCAGCCACCAATTCCGATTCCGCTTTAAAAAAAAAATGAAAAGCTCGACCACTTTCAGACTGCTGCTAGCTAGCCGAGGCTGCTAACAGTCTCCGCCTATATTTGCGGTCTGGGTTATTTGCGTCACTTTCGTGACTAAAATTCTAGTATTTGCGCCGTCTCTGGGCTTAAAGCTTCCTTTTGAGTCAGACCGCTCGTCCTCTACTCTGTTGATAGCTGTGCATGTCTTTCCTTTTCTTACTTGGTGTTTCCTCTTGGTTTCATCTCCCTCTGATTTGGCCAGGCGTATTTCCTAGAGTCACTAATGAAGAATGGAGGATTTTAAAGTCCCGAAGGAGATCCTCATTAGGTAATTACAGATGAGTAAAACTTCTTTCCACGCCTATCGGCCTACTAGGCATATATGGCTAGACCTATATTTTATAGACCAATTCGTCACTATGTGGGTGATGTGGAGAACAGCACACCGGACGCCTTTACTTCCAAGTACTTTACCTGGTACCCATTTACACTGGGTCGACCTGGGAGGCAAGGTTATTAAAAAAATGTCGGGCCTAATCTGGGCCTGAACCCACAGCTACCGGATCCGCAAGCAAGCGTCTAGCTTCTACACCACACCGGCTGTTAAGTTTGATATGGTTACACTATATATATATATATATATATACATACATACACAAACATATATACATATATATTTTGCTCTAAACTGGCAGGAAACAATGGACTACGAGACCAGATTTTGGCTTTAAATTGGACCAAAAATAATATTCAATCGTTTGGCGGGGATCCCAATGACATTACCATATTTGGGGAGTCTGCCGGATCGGCAAGCGTGTCCTTTCTGGCTCTAAGTCCTTTAACCAAGGGACTGTTTACAAAGGTACTTACTTAATGAAAATTTCTTCAGACCCCTTTTCTTGACAACTTCTACTACTGCTGAAGCGGTTACTACTATTACCAATTCTACTGCAATAACTAGGAAGAGTTATGCTGAGGAAGATCAGAACAGGCATGCTTCGTGCAGAGTGGCATGCTTCGCTGCGGAGGACACGAGTGAGGAGTATTGTCTGGAATTGTTTTCACCGGGTCACGCCGGTGTGTTGGGAAATGAACAGGCGGACAGACTGGCTGGCTCTGCACAACTTGGTGGAATACTGATACATGATAAGGCAGACGTGGTTAGTGCCTTGTGGGAGAGCGTGTACAGTTCGGAGGAGCAGATGGATCACCACAGTCTGGTGAGATTGATGCTGCGGGAAGTGACGAGAGGTTCTGGCAGATGCTCGAGGCTCAGAGGAAAGGCAAGACGGACGTTTAATCAGAATGCTACTGGCACCATTAGTATTGGAACTCTTCGCTGGTTGCTGAAGATGGGGACGGAGCGCTTATGGGAATGCCTGAGTGCTGTGATGTCGGTTCTTGAATCAAATCAAATCAACTGCGATAACTACTGCTGTGACGAATACTGCTGTGACGAATACTGCTGTGACGAATACTGCTGTGACGAACGCTACTTTTAAAGCTGTCGAAACTACTACTGCTGACACCGCCACTATCACTCCTTCTGCTGCTTTCTAGCCCCCGATGGAGCATAGGTCATCAACCAGCTCACGCTAAGTCATTGTACCCTTCGCTATCGCATGCAGCTCTCCCCATGTCCTCCCCATGTCCTCCCCATGTCCTCCCCATGTCCTCCCCATCTTTTAAACTTCACTCTCCAGCTCCCTTCTCCATGTGTTTGTTGGTCTTCCTTTATTTCTATGCTTCTGTGGGTTCCAGTGCAAAGACATTCTAGTTATATTGTTCGGAGGTTTTCTCAACGTTTGTCCTATCCAACGCCAGCGTCTTTGCTAATTGCTTGGTCCATAGGAACTTCTTCAGTTCTTTCCCAAAGCTCTACAATAGTGATTCTATCATACCATTTAAATCCCTCTATTCTGCGCAGGCACCACTTATTGAATGTCTGTAGTTTATTATTAATTGCCTTAATTGTTCTCCATGTCTTCGCCCCATTCAAAAAGTAATGATTTCACATTAAAAAAAAAAAAAAAAAAAAAAAATTAAATTCAGTATTAGTTTTAATTTCTATTGACATCCAAAATGTTTCTAACGTTATAAAAGCTCTTCTGGCCTTTTGTATAATATTTTAATATCTATATCAGTTCCCTATCTATCAGTTCCCTATCTATCAGTTCCCTATCTATCAGTTCCCTATCTATCAGTTCCCTGTCTATCAGTTCCCTGTCTATCAGTTGCCTGTCTATCAGTTGCCTATCTATCAGTTGCCTATCTATCAGTTGCCTATCTATCAGTTGCCTATCAGTTCCCTATCTATCAGTTCCCTGTCTATCAGTTCCCTATCTATCAGTTGCCTATCTATCAGTTCCCTATCTATCAGTTCCCTATCTATCAGTTCCCTATCTATCAGTTCCCTGTCTATCAGTTCCCTATCTATCAGTTCCCTATCTATCAGTTCCCTGTCTATCAGTTCCCTATCTATCAGTTCCCTATCTATCAGTTGCCTATCTATCAGTCCCCTATCTATCAGTTGTCTATCTATCAGTCCCCTATCTATCAGTTCCCTATCTATCAGTTCCCTATCTATCAGTTCCCTATCTATCAGTTCCCTATCTATCAGTTGTCTATCTATCAGTTCCCTATCTATCAGTCCCCTATCTATCAGTTGTCTATCTATCAGTTCCCTATCTATCAGTCCCCTATCTATCAGTTCCCTATCTATCAGTTCCCTATCTATCAGTTCCCTATCTATCAGTTCCCTATCTATCAGTTCCCTATCTATCAGTTGCCTATCAGTTGCCTATCTATCAGTTCCCTATCTATCAGTTGTCTATCAGTTGCCTATCTATCAGTTGCCTATCTATCAGTTCCCTATCTATCAGTTCCCTATCTATCAGTTCCCTATCTATCAGTTCCCTATCTATCAGTTCCCTATCTATCAGTTGTCTATCTATCAGTTCCCTATCTATCAGTCCCCTATCTATCAGTTGTCTATCTATCAGTTCCCTATCTATCAGTCCCCTATCTATCAGTTCCCTATCTATCAGTTCCCTATCTATCAGTTCCCTATCTATCAGTTCCCTATCTATCAGTTCCCTATCTATCAGTTGCCTATCTATCAGTTCCCTATCTATCAGTTGTCTATCAGTTGCCTATCTATCAGTTGCCTATCTATCAGTCCCCTATCTATCAGTTGTCTATCTATCAGTCCCCTATCTATCAGTTCCCTATCTATCAGTTGCCTATCAGTTGCCTATCTATCAGTTCCCTATCTATCAGTTGTCTATCAGTTGCCTATCTATCAGTTGCCTATCTATCAGTTGCCTATCTATCAGTTTCCTATCTATCAGTTCCCTATCTATCAGTTCCCTATCTATCAGTTCCCTATCTATCAGTTCCCTATCTATCAGTTCCCTATCTATTAGTTCCCTATCTGCGACTGCAACTACCGCTTCTACTGCTACTGTTACAACACCACCAGGTACTACTTCTGCTGCTGCTGCTGATAGTACTGCTACCAATACTACTGGCATTACTGCTACTAATACCACTACCACTATTGTTAACACTACAAGTATTGATTATTACTACTTTTGATGAATGTGGTCACATGAACTAACAATACAGAGCATTCAGTATATCTGCCCAGTCCCTTGGTTGTCAATAAATGCATGAACCAACCTACCATTATAAATAATATGAAGAAACTCCACAGGGTAGCATGTACAGCAGGAGTCTACCAATCGTCAGTAGAAGTAATCTCTCGTCGACAAATGTTTCGGCCCACGAGCTCCTGGACATTTTCAGACAGTGGGCCCACCTGAGTTCATGAGGCTCAGGGTTGATTTTCTCCTGCTGCACGTATTACCGGATGTTGTTCGGACAGGACAAGACGAAATTGGTGACTTTGTAAAAGGTACTGTGAGCTAAGAAGTCGTTGCGGTAGCATAATTAAAGCAGTCTGCTTACATGGACAGCAGTCTGCTTACGTTTGGTTTACCGGACACATGTTGGACTTTTGTTGCACTGTGTCCAGAGACAGCTCGAGGCCCTCTCAGCAACCTCGCCCAGTTGTGTATGTGTCCGTTTGCGTTCATTACCTCGTAATGACAAAAAAAATCAGCCAACCACCCTAACAAATGAGCAACCAGCCTGTCAATCAATAACTTAATCGTAACACTTATCTTGACTTTACATTTGTCGGCATTTTCAATTGTCTCCCCTTGGCAGGCAATCATGCAGAGCGGAACTGCTTTCTCTGGCTGGGCAATCAACCGACACCCTTCTCTGCTTCTGGATATTGTTTCCGAGAAGCTAGGCTGTACCGCCTCGCTGTTTTACCTGTTCTGGTTCAAGTAAGTAGCACCCGGGCTGTTGATTAGATAACTATTTTTGTTCTTGTTGTTGTTTTTGTCGTTGTTAATTTTTTTTAAATCAAAAACATATTCAAGCGGTCAAGTGATGGATCTTTCTTGTGGCAACGTATGAAAAAATATGTTTCCAGTTTTGGCATCCAAGTCGTCCCTTTGTAGGGTGCAATATTTCGTTATTTGAACCCCCACCCTGGCTTTTGACAGGGGACATGAATATAGCCGAGCCACAATTGTGGCCATAACGGCTGAAATGGGTTCTGGGACCTCTCCACGTCTGATCCTCATCCACATGGTAGCACTTTGTGTCACCGGGTGTTGATCGCTTGTGTGATGTCCTAGTGTGGTACAACAAGCAAGCAAGCAACGTGTGAATGTGAGTAATGAACTCTTAAACACGAGGGGAAAAAAATCGGACATTTTGAATTGAAATGCTACAGAAACTTTGTACGTGGGGCAAGAATTGAGAACACCAATATCTTATAAGACGTGAACATCAAGGAGAAGTGGCTCGTTAACAGCATCTTGTCTGGAAAGCTGAGATATTTTGGCCATATTAAGAGTCACGATGGCCTGCAGAAAAGAATGGTTGAGGCTACAGTTTTCAGGAAGCGAGGTAGAGGCAGATCTTCTCGGATGTGGATACAAGACATTCGAGATGCATTGGCCGTTGAAGCACATCGGGCTGTAGAAGTAGCTAGAGAAGGAGATTCTGCGGTCTGCCGTGACGAGAGCGACGTTCTGCAAATGACCCGCTGATCAATGACAATGATCAGGTTTCACGTTCACATCAATAAAATAAAAAATGAATGAACGGATTAAATCTGTACAACCTTAGGAGAATCTTCAACTAGTGCACAAACCGGCTGGCGTTGTCGATCAGGCGCCTCCACAATTGGTGGTCTCCAACAGCGTGTACCAGTTTGTGTGTTGATACCCCTTCATGCCATGACAAACGGCAATCAAGAATCTTCTCCCGCTGTCTTCCTCAGTCTCTCTTTCCGCGGATCTTTCCAGTGGTCACAACATATCCCAGTCTCTCTCTTCTCCTAACATGACCAAAAATGACGACTGTCTTTTTCTAATGTTTGTGATAAGTTGTCTCCGAGCACTCGCCTCTTTCAAAACATCACGGTTGCTCTTCCTAGCTGTCCGAGGAATTCTAAAGATTCTTCTGTAAAACTACATCACTGAGGCTTCAAGATATTGTTCAGCTTGTTGATTAACTGTTCAGAATTCACAGCAGCTTGTTAAAACTAGCTGTATACAGCATGCGAGAATTGTTTTCCTAACCTCCAATGACGTGAATTTATTGCACACGATGTTCTTCATGTTATCAAATGCTGTCTTGGCCTGTCATGTTCTCTTGCATTACAAGACAGCATTAGACTGTCAAGCGTAGGGCCCTTAAACATAATGCTTCATGCACAAAAAGCCCTCCTCGACCACCCTTTTCTAACAAGTTTTAACTCTTTGAGTCCCAAGGAACGCATCGTACGTTCATAGGTTCCTACCTAGAAGCACAATAAACGCATGATGCGCCGATTTTATTACTTTCTTGACTACCCCCGGGCCTGTAATGCTAAACCACCTGGGAGTCAAAGAGTTAAAGGACTGCGCACCATAACCCCCCAACCCCCTCCCGCCCCCACCCTTGTCCCCAAATAATCCATTGTTATTTTATATTCTCTTTGAAAGTATTTGTTTGCACGTTCCATACTTTGAAATGTGCTAAAGAGTGGCGGGTTTTCAGATATTCAGTGACATGGTTATTGTAATTTCTATCATACTCCTAAAGTTTTAATGTCAAGTGCCTTCATAAAGTCAAACCTTTTTTTTGCTACCATCAGAACTAGAACTCCACACGGGCTGCTAGAGTTAAGAAGAGTGCGGTTAAAGGAATGATGTTTACGACTGGCTATCATTAGGCCACAGTCTGTTTGAGATCATGATGCTTACACTGAATGATCTTTTGTTTTTTGTTTTCTGCATAGACAAATCCGCAGCATAGACAAAATCAACTGCATCAAAAACAAGTCAGTTAGTGAACTTTTGAACGTGATTCCAGAGACACAAGACATCGCAGATTCACTAAACTCCGACAAGCTGTTTATCCCTGTCATAGATGGCGACGTTCTGCCCCAGGTAAGTGCCAACAGTAAAGGGCCAAGTGGGGTCGGCTTTTATTGGAATGCAGCGGCAATCGCCAATCCAAAGATCGTAGGTGGTAGGAGTTACATAGATAGTTTTCCCGGGCCAGGTCGGTGTATTTGGGAATGAGCACATAAATAGGTTGGCTGGACAGGTTCCACTTGAGAGGGGGGGGGGGGGAGAAAAAAAAAAGGGGGGGGGGGGTGAACTGCAGCTGCAAAAGCAGATGTGGTATCTCATCCGTGGGACCAGATAACAAGTAAAGTAAAAAGTCAAGGGCCCTGGGAAGTAAAAGCGTCCAGTGTTATGTTGACCACATCACCCGTTAAGTGCCGATTTTGTTGTTTTACGGGGTCGGTCTCCCAAATGCCCAACCTGACCACCCGACAACCTGGAGGATATTACGTCCAGGACCAGGACATCACACAAGCGATAAACACACGGTGACCCAAAGTACCACCATGCGGGTGAGGATCACCCTGGGACAGAAACCCCGTTCAACTAGCAGGTTTTATTAGGGCTAGTAACTACAACTAGGGTGGAGCTTTGAAATAACGAAAAATTGCGTCTCATAGCCGACAGAAACACGCCTAAAGGCCTCTATCTCTCTCTTGTTGCACCCCACCAGGACATCACACAAGCGATAAACACCAGATGACACAAAGTGCCACCATGCGGAGGAGGATCACACGTGGAGAGATTCAAGAAACTCCACTCCTTTCAGCCGTTAGGTCATATTTATGGTCTGGCTATTTTCAAGGCCCCCGGTGAAAGCCAGGGTGGGGTTTCAAATAACGAAAAATTACATCTCACAAGGGTACGACTATAGACTGACGGACTGACTTTCTACCCCACTAGGATATCACACAAGCGATAAACACCCGATGACACAAAGTGCCACCATGTGGATGAGGATCGCCGTGGAGAGGTCCCAGAAACCGTGTTCAGACAATTGGCCATATTTATGGCCTGCCTATATTGCGGCCCCTGGAAAAAGCCAGGGTTGAGGCTTCAAAAAACAAAAAAATTCATCCTAAAATAGGACAAAACTGCATTGGTAAAGTGCAGATATTAATACAGAAGTAACGCCTAAAGAGCTAGAAAAGCTTCCTTTTTACTTCTTTTGTCACTTACATTACTCATCTATAATTTTATATTACGACTAAAAAATAAAGTGTGACGCCTACCTAAAATACTTGACTCGACTTGTCAAATCTAAAAGCTATTGTTTGTTTGCATTTGGTTCAGTCAGTATTATATACTAAACGATTATTTGTACACTATAAATAAAATTTTACTCAAAAGAGTGAAGAGATTATTTCCCGAGATATATATATATATTGGCTATATAAAATATTTGACATCGAAAATTGCCACTAAGAAGCCAAAATTGTAATATTTTGCCATTACACTACGTTGTCATCCACAAAGCATGTGTGTATGCAGAATGGCAGCATTATAGTCTATCGGGAAATAGTTTAAATCTAACACAAACGGCAATCCAGACAAACATTCTCAAATATAATACAAGCTTATTAAAAAGGGGATAATTCTTGTTGTTTTCCTCAGAGTCCAGAATCTCTACTGGCTAATGTCTCTTATCTAAGGTCCAATGGAATTTTAGACAGAGATTACATTATGGGATGTACAAACAACGAGGGACTGATCCTGTTTGCGTCACAGATGGTCACTGAGGGTACGTACAATAGAAATACAGTACGCTACTTGAGTGTTGTCTATACAACTACTGTGTACATACTGGCGTGTTTGGGAATACCCCATAGAGAGGCCCCAGTTATCAAAATACTTTTCGTCCTTTTTAGGATGAAATTTTTCGTTCTTTGAAGCCCTACTCTGGCTTTTGCTAGGGGCCGCAATATAGACTGGCCATAAATACGGCCTAAAGGCTGAACGCGGTTTCTGGGACCTCTCTACGGTGATCCTCACCCGCATGGTGACACATTGTGTCATCGGGTGTTTATCGCTTGTGTGATGTCCTTGTGGGGTAGAAAGTCAGTCAGTCAGTCAGACCACAGTCTTTTCCAAGAACTCATGCTCAGTATGGTGAATATGCGAGCTTAATGTTTTCCTAAAATTCGTGGCAAGTTTTATGAGAATATTTAGCTCTTGCATTTTCCTGCATATGTAGACTGCAAGGATATACTTCCGTCGCCCAGCTACTGTGTGTGGTGCAGCAGTGTGAGCTGCGGATTTAATTTTGACTGTGCCTAAACACGGCATGTCTTTTGAACTGCAGATTCTTTTTTTTTTTTTTTTTTTTTTTTTTTTACCTATCCAGAAACCATGAGTTGTAAACCCTTTGGCTCGGTACTATGGATATCGCAACCCTTCGGCATTGATTCCATTATAGGTACCTTAAATCTGGGAGAAATGTGGCTTTTCTGCCTACCCCCGGGAGTGAACCCGGACCACAAGATTCAGAAATGGCGATCAGCTTTTGCATTGTTTTGCCGCTCGCTGACAATGAGATACCTAAACCTGGTGGAACAGAAGGATGAGGATATCAATGACTGCCAACGCCACACGGCATGGACTTTCAGAAGAAGATTAATTCTCTAGACTTTTGTAGCTATCCGTCTTCAGCCAGGAGGTCCTTTACGAAACGTCACTCTCGCCTCGAGGTGCCTGAAAGTCAGTCTTTCTCCAGCACCATGTTCTTAAATAGCCAGTGCGTCTTTTGTGTCTTGCATAAACCTTTGCTAGCGGTGTCCGTGGCTTAGGCAATGCGAGTCCGACTCGTAATTCCAACGTACCGAGATCGAAACCCACTGCTGGCTGCGTGGATTTTCATCATGGTTTTGGGCGTCGCACGCTGACCCAGGCTAAAAATGGGTACCAGAATGTATGTCCTGGGGAAGTAAAGATGGTAGGCGTAATGCTGACGACATTACCCACCTAGTGCCAATTGGTCTGTAAAAATATGGGTGCTCTTCCCATATGCCCGACGCGCTTACAGGCGTGAAAAAGGGATCTTTACTTTTTACTTTATCCACATTTGCTGGGTCTGCCTCTGCATGGTTTTCAAAAATCTGTAACTTCCATCTCCGTTCTCTCCATACCACCACGACATTTAACTTATCCAAAATACCTCAGCTTTCGGGAAAGGATGCAGTTTATGAGCCAATTCTCCTCGCTGTTCAGATCGTGTAGGATGTCAATGCTGCAGCTATTATACACTCTGGTTTCTAGAAAAGTAATTGTGTTTCTTCTTTTCCCAGCTGGAATCGGTAACTTCACGGCAGCTTCATCAGCAGAGAAATTCATCAAAGCGGCTTCTAATCTGCTGTCTCCAAATAACGCCATAGAGGCGGACAAGCTACAACTGATCTACTATCAGTATAGCTACCCCAGGGATGAGGACGAACACGCGCCGCTTCAGGTTCGTACAATGATGCCTTGTTTATTAATGTAGTGGTAACCAAAAATATATGGGCATGTGACCGAGGCCCTGTTAGGATATATTTTCGGCCTCGATAATTTGGGACAGTTATTTGGAGGATAGCCCCAGTGTGTCATTTCCTGTACTCATCTATCTCTTGGTCGGTCCCTGCCCCTCCTTCCTGATACCATGTCTTCTGCTATGTTTGTTTAATCCATCACGGAGCTTGATAAAACCAAAATGCAAGGTCCGATAATTAAGTAATGAGACTGATTTTAAGTTTTATGTGATTAATTGCGTGTGCAACTACTAATCTGTTGCAACTGCTGCTTCCATAGGCTAAACTAGATGGCTGGGACTCACGAGCAAATAAAATGAAGAAAACTGCAGGAGATGGGGTAGCTGAAATACTCTCGGTGGTGGCGGTAGTCGCTGGAAGTTCGTAATTTAGGTCAACGGAAGTCAGCAATTTACATGTGACCGAGGCCCTGAGAGGGTATTTTTACGGCGTCGATAATTTGGGACCGTTATTCGGAGGATAGCCGACACTGGACATGAAAGTGCGCCAGGCGGAAGAGCTGGCGAGAGACTGAGTTTCTTTCAGGCAGACCGTAGTAAGAGCGACATTCTGCAACGGACCTGCTACATGATGATGATGAAGCAATCAATGTTTGGGCATGTAGGCCGGAATTAATACCATTAAATATACAGTGTGTTTGTGTGTGTCATCATCATGTGCCTTGCCGACTGGAGTGGGCGATCATGCCTCTCCACAATGTGCGAATTGCAACAGCTTGTACCAGTTCGTGTGTTGACACCCCTCCATGCCATGATAAAAGGCTGTGAGGAACTGTTGTAGTTGCTGCTTCCATCAACGATATACTGCATTTCATATGTCGGACTGTTTATGTTGGCACGTCTGACGGGTGCTTGGTGGATTTGATGCGTCTGTATGCTATTGAATTTACTAAGATTGCGGTCATAATTATTTTAATTTGCACAAAGAACAGTGGTGGCCATTTTGTGTGGTTTTCTTTGGCACGTGAAAGGACACAACTATGGGGGTGACCTGGTTTCAGTGAAGTTCAAACTGCGAGTACCCAGTGATGACGATAATGACGAATCAACGTATAAGTATAATAGACATTTAGTTTGTTGACCTTTCAGGACCTTCTAGACATTGCAACAGATGTGCTGTTTGCAGTACCCACAGTCCAGCTGGCTCGAGCCCTGACACAAGCCTCAAACAGCACCAATGTCTACCTGTACTTATATGATCATGGACCAGAGGTAAGACAATACACGCCTGTAGTATTTGATCTATATTTGCAGGTAAAATACAGTTTTTTTCTTTTTAAATTTACCCCAAACACAGAGAATCCCGGAATTCCACGTTAAGTCCACTATTATAGGGGTGTTACGTTTTGAAATGAACAACGACTAAACCTGACCCTCCCACTAAAATATTGGACTTTTACGGAGACTCCGGGATTTACGGGTTTGGGGTTAAAAAACATCCGAACTACATGTTTAATTATTATTGCTCATTATATGTGAACTGAGTCAGCTCTGTGGCTAAGTCGATGCGAACGCTTCGTAATGCAGGGATACTGGGTTCGATCCCAGCTGCGGGCCATGCGCCTTGCGTTGGTTTCGGCAGTGGTATCAATAAAGCCGACCTCCCAGAAAGCGATGGCAAACTACTGGACGTAAATTTGCCGAGAAAAACCACACAACAGCCAGGAGCTGCTGAGGTTGGTTCTGCAACGTCCTGTAAAGGATACACAACTAACCTTGTGTGTGAACTGTAGACTCAGAAAATAGCCACTAGACTGTCACCACAGAACTGGTGTCGCCTGCTGCGATTTATTGCGTGTGCAACTACTGATCTGTTGCAACTGCTGTTACCATCAAAGATAAACATCATCATCATCATCGCGCGGCATTCCAGAAGTAGAGAAAGGAAAAAGATATTCAGGCAGTAATGCAATCTAAAGACAAAACACGGCCCGCATAGAAATATGAATCTCCAAGGGAAATGCCACAAGCCGTCGGAATCGCCGACTTAACGGTGGACATCAGACGCTAGCCTGCCTAGTAAAAGGTCGGGAGTTCGGGTCCTGACGCAGCCAGGTTGATTGATTTATCTGGTAACCTCGCGCTAAGAACTCAGAGGATCGTCGCTGCAGCTATGGCGTTCGTACATTGTGAGTCGCTGTCGACAGGCCGAGACAGACGAGAGAACACCCCTGTTCACTGAAGTTAATTCTCTGGACTTTTTTCCATTTTTCTTTTCATCCTTTTATATAGATAACGGATATTTTATGTGTTTCTATCTCATCTTCACAGCTCCTGAAGCCCGATGGTTTATTTAGAGGTTCTACCCACGGATTAGATCTTTCCTACGAGTTCGACCTCTCCGAAATCTCCAATCTTCAGAGCTTCTATGCCCTGCCTCCTCAACCATCTGAGAAGAACCTGACCGAGCTATTCCTCACAGTCCTGAGTCAGTTTGCTAAAACAGGAAGTCCTCTAGGACCGCCAGGTCAAGAGCCTCAGGTTTGGCCTCGCTATAACCGAAAAGATGAGCACTTCTTCAGAATCTCTTTGACTCCGAAGAACGACCAGCACCTCTTCGCCAAAAGAGTAGCGTTGTGGACAGATATAGTTTTGAAGAGCAACAGTCAGACCTCGAAACCCTGGAGAGGATTCAGGAGACACTAAATCCCGTTACTTTTGGCAGAAAGCAGAAGTCGTCATAGTTACCTGTCTTGCCAGAGAATTGGCGCTCTTGTCTCTCAACCTAAACCTTCCAGCATCGCCTTTATCTGTTTGCCCCTGCCTTGCTTACCACTGATCTGTCAAGCTGTCCAATATCTCTTTAATATTATTAAAAAAAAAAAAATTGTTTTCAAAAAACTTTCTTCTAATGGATGCTAACAATGCCGGATTTAGATATCATCATCATCAGTTCTCGTTATGCCTAGTGGCACATGATGCTTCAGAAAGGACTTTCTATGCTTTCCTGTCCTGTGCAATCTTCAGTGCAGTTTTCCATGTCAAAGATGCAGTACTCAGGTCACTTTTCATCGTTCGTCTCCATGTTGTTTTTGGGCGCCCCTGTTTTCTCTTTCCCTCTGGTGTCCATGTGAGAGCTGTTTTGGCAGGTATATCAGGATTCATTCTCATAACGCGGCCAAGCCATTTCCATCTTATCTTGGTTATCATACTGTCTAAAGTTTCTGTATTTAGATATAAAGTAAACAAATTATATCTTAGCACCCAATAAACTGACAGGGCTTTCTTTACAAAATGGATACATTTTCTTGTAATATATTTTAAATTTTAAATATCTATATATATATATATATATATATATATATATATATATATATATATATATATATATATATATATATATATATTTAATGTAAACAAATGTGGTGTATTCTATCTAATATACCTTTACATTATATGATATAATTTCTGTGATTTTGCAAAGACATTCTTTACTGTTTCTTGCAATAAAAATTACACGAAATTGTGTTTCAATTATCCATATGTTTGTAAGTCGTATATATTTTAAAGTTTTTTGAGGCTAGTTTGTGTAATTTAAAACGGTAGGGGCCTCAAAGCTTTAGGTAGTTAAGGGCCTCAAGTCTAAATCTGGCCCTAGATGTGTATCTTCTTCTACATTGGACCACAGTTGTCAGGCAACCATGTTTGATAACCCTGGAAGTTGTTTTACTTTTTTGGGTTAGAAGAAGAAGAAGAAGAAGAAGAGAAGAGAAAGAAGAAGAAGAAGAAGAAGAAGAAGAGAAGAAACAGGAAGCGAAGAAACAGGAAGAGAAGAAGAAGAAGAAAAAGAAGAAGAGAAGAGGAAGAAGAAAAAGAAGAAGAAGAAGAAGAAGAAGAAGAAGAAGAAGAAGAAGAGGAAGTAGAAGAAGAAGAAGAAGAAGAAGAAGAAGAAGAAGAAGAAGAAGAAGAAGAAGAAGAAGAAGAAGAAGAAGAAGAAGAAGAAGAAGAAGAAGAAGAAGAAGAAGAAGAAGAAGAAGAAGAAGAAGAAGAAGAAGAAGAAGAAGAAGAAGAAGAAGAAGAAGAAGAAGAAGAAGAAGAAGAAGAAGAAGAAGAAGAAGAAGAAGAAGAAGAAGAAGAAGAAGAAGAAGAAGAAGAAGAAGAAGAAGAAGAAGAAGAAGAAGAAGAAGAAGAAGAAGAAGAAGAAGAAGAAGAAGAAGAAGAAGAAGAAGAAGAAGAGGAAGAGGAAGAAGAAAAGAAGAGGAAGAAGAAGAAGAGAAGAAGAAGAAGAAGAGAAGAAGAAGAAGAAGAGAAGAAGAAGAAGAAGAAGAAGAAGAAGAAGAAGAAGAAGAAGAAGAAGAAGAAGAAGAAGAAGAAGAAGAAGAAGAAGAAGAAGAAGAAGAAGAAGAAGAAGGAGAAGGAGAAGAAGAAGAAGAAGAAGAAGAAGAAGAAGAAGAAGAAGAAGAAGAAGAAGAAGAAGAAGAAGAAGAAGAAGAAAAAAAGAAGAAGAAGAAATAGGAAGAGAAGAAAAGGATAAAGAAGAAGAAGAGCAAAAGCAGTATCGACTCAGATAGAAATTAATGAGAGAGCTAGAGAGAGAGAGAGAGTGTGTGTGTGTGTGTGCGTGTGTGTGTGTGTGTGTGTCAGCCGAGAGAGATCTGGGCCTCCTACCACATAATATTCTTGAAGGCAGCAATGGACGCAGCCTAGCTGTAAACCACAAAACATCGTTCCAACCGCATTTGAAATTCAAACGTCAGGAAAGAAATGAAGTGATGTGAGTTATACTAAGTAACACTACAGTGAAATGTGGTTTTCAAATTTCTGTCTCATCAAGCATCCTTCATAGACAAGTCAAAAACTCAGTAAGTAATGCTGTAATACTGAATAGCAGTATGCAATAATAAGAATACAACTGTGGAAGAACTAGGGAAGCAAGCGAGAATGCAGTCAGTACCAAACCATCTCTCTTTTAAGTCATTTTGGGAAAATGCATGCCAAGATAATAGAAACGAGACTGAGACTAGTGACATACCAGAGTTGGCAGAAGAACAGATGAGATTTAGGCGAAATAAAATCTGCACAGATGCAACTTTCATACTTAAACCGTTAGTAGAAAAAAATATGGAACACGTTTACAACTTATCTGTGAGACTTGTAGACCAGGAGAAGTTATTCGACAGAGTCGATAAATATGTATAATGGAAAGTAATGGTTCGATATGGAGTGAGTGACCACCTCCTAAAAAGTATGCAAAAAGCTTTTCATCATCATCATCCCGTGACACTACATGTCAGTGGTTCACCAGTTTCTGTTGACTGTCTGATCCTCTCTCTCCACCTTTGGCGGTCATTTGCCATGGACTTCATGGTTGCATGCCTGAGGCCTGTCCAGTCAGTCAGGTTCTGTAACCAGGTCTTCAATAATCTGCATCTTCTCCTCTTCCTCTGGAGGCTCGTAGCGAAAGCCAATGGAAAATCTGTAGTGCAAGACAGCCTAGCTTATGACACCACAACATCTAGAATGAGAATGGAGGTGGAGGCAGTAACTGCAGCTCTCCGGTGTCTAGAAACAAGATACATACACATATCGTAATTGTAAAAGAATCTGAAAGCATGCTGAAAAAGATGAAGGCAGGGATGCTTTTCTCCAGGCAATGCCGGCGTGGTGAGTAATGAACAGGCAGACAGACTGGCTGGATCCGCACCACTGGATGGTGAACTGATACATGACAAGGCCGATGTGGTCAGTGCCATTTAGGGACAAGCAACGGAATCAGTAGAGAAAGAAGATTTTTATGGCCTGGAGAGAATGAGGCACCTGGGTGTAACCAGAGGCTCTGGCCGGCTCACTACACTCAGAGGAAAGGCAAGACGGACATATAACCAGATTGTGACAAGTACCATCAGTATTGGAACTCTGCGCAGGCTGCTGAAGATGAGGACGGAGCACACATGGGAATGCCTCGAGTGCTGTGATGTCAATTCTTGACTTAACTCGACTGAAAAGACTGAAATAAAATCTGTAAAAAGAAACTGGCAGAACTAAAATATGTCAGTAAATCAAGGCATCCGGGTTAAAATATCTGGTAACACAATTCCCCAAAGATGGTAAACTGTATGAAGAAATCGACATCTGGGACAGCTAGCTCCCCCTCTTACAGCATAAGAAAATCTCGTCAGCAGAGAGAAACATCTAATTCAGAGCATTTTCATTCCTATGCTATGCTACAAGTGCCTAACATGGACATTCACAACACATAAGGGGAGACAATTAGCAACCAAGGAAATGAGACGTCCGAGAATAGCTGCAGGAGTGACAAGAGAAGAAAAAAAAATCAGGAATAAGGTCAAAAGAGAACAAGTCGGCACATTCATCATCATGTAGCAGGTCCTTTGCAGAACGTCGCTCTCATCACAGTCTGCCTGTAAGAAACTCGGTCTCTTGCCAGTCGGCACATTACTAATTTTGAATTAAATGCAAAGATAGGAAATGAAATATTTAACTTACCTGAAGTCATGCATTACAAGACATTCACCAAGATATGAGCAGGGCGTAGATAACAAGGTAGACCAGAAACAAGATGGACAGATAACCTTCTACAACAGCATGATGTGTCTGCGGTGGCTAGGGTCAGAAGTGCAAGAAACCGAACCTTTTATCTCTCTCGACAGAATGCATATGTCAAACCCAGTCTGGACTTAGGTTCTGTTGTAACCGTCAAAAACCCCAGTGTAACCTTAGGGTTGAACAGGATTTGTGCGATTTGTATCCGAATGGTTCTCATCCAAATAGTGACACTTTGCATCACCTGGTGTTATTTGCTCTGTAAGTTAGTTAATCGACAGATTATCCTCGCTGCAAATCAGTCAAATGCATAAGCGCGTGGATCCCATCTTCAGCACAATCTCCAGCGTGTGGCGACTGATAACGCCAGTTCTATGTTGATTTAGTTCTTTTTTTGCACTAGCACTAGACGTAAAATCGCCTAAAAAAAACGAAAACATCCTAAAAATGCTGAGGTTGGTACTGCAACTTCCTGTAAGAAATACGCAACTAACTTGAAACTTTGCAGTAGCAGCAGCAGCAGCAGCAGTAGTAGCAGTAATTGCAGTAGAGTAATAGTAGTAGTAGTAGTGTATAAGCAGTGATGGTGGTGGTAGTGGTGGTTGTATTAGTAGTAGTAGCAACAACAGCAGCTGCAATAGTAGTAGTAGCAGCAGCAACAGTAGCAGTATCAGCAGCAGTAGTAGAATAGTAGTAGCAACAGCAGCTGTAGTAGTAGTGGTGGTAGTAGCAGTAACAGCTGCAATAGCTGCTGTAGTAGTGGTGGTGGTAGGAGCAGCAGTAGCTGCAGTAGTAGTGGTAGTAGTAGTAGTAGTAGAAGTAGTGGCCGTAGTAGTAGTAGTAGTAGTAGTAGTAGTAGTAGTAGTAGTAGTAGTAGTAGTAGTAGTTGTAGTAGCAATAGTAGTAGTAGTAGTAGTAGTAGTAGTAGTAGTAGTAGTAGTAGTAGTAGTAGTAGTAGTAGTAGTAGTAGTAGTAGTAGTAGTAGTAGCAGTAGTAGTAGTAGTAGCAGTAGTAGTAGTAGTAGTAGTAGTAGTAGTAGTAGTAGTAGTAGTAGTAGTAGTAGTAGTAGTAGTAGTAGTAGTAGTAGTAGTAGTAGTAGTAGTAGTAGTAGTAGTAGTAGTAGTAGTAGTAGTAGTAGTAGTAGTAGTAGTAGTAGTAGTAGTGGTATTTGTAGTAGCAGTATAGTGTTCATGTCGAGCAGTGCCTCTTTTGACCTGAAGATCTTTGAGTCGTTTGAGTATCAACTGCCGACTTTACTGTCACAGTGAGGTTTAAGCTAATCCAAGAGGTAAAAGAGGTTGCAAAGAAGAAGAGAAAGTGAAAAAACAGACATAGGTGCCAAGTCAGTTCCAACAAGTGCCCCCTAATGCCGACTCAAACCTAATACTTTGGGCCCCACAGCCAAGCCACTAACCACCCTGCTTACATCTGTCCCATATTTAACATAACTTTCCCAATATCTCTCCCCAGGATGACGTCACATGACAGTCTAATATTTTAGAGTGTGGTAAGAGCGGGTTTCCCGGCTTTCTGATGCTTTTAACTACCTCAAAATATCTACAACTGGGCCTAACCCTAACCTATCTATGTCCCACGAGAAGGTGCAGCCTAGGTTCCACGACTGCATGCAGCCTATCTACCACCCCCTGAAATATTCGACTGTTTGTTGGGGGGGGGGGGAGTTGAAGATAGAACCTAACTTTGAAATACCACCTGGTAGGTAGGTAAATAGCTGTACCCCACCAGGACATAACACAAGCAATAAACACCCGGTGACACAAAGTGCCATCATGCGGATGAGGATCACCCGTGAAGAGGTCCCAGAAACCCCTTTCAACCGTTAGGCTATATCTATGGCTAGGCCATATTTATGACCCGGCTATATTTAGGGCCCCCGGCAAATGCCGGGATGGGACTTCAAAATAACAAAAAATTGCATCCACGAAGAGACGATTTGTAATTACCACCTGATAATTAGTTCTCGCTTGGGGCGCGTTTCCAGTTACAAAGTAGGCTTAATTGCCGCATCTACCTTTCAGTCCCATACAAACGTTTTAATTAAACAAATATATTTTTTACATTGTACATTAATTATCAAATGGGTATCTTGCCTCAGGAACTGCTAAGGGAAGAATGTTTAATGGACTCATACAATCAAGTCAATAAAATACAAAATACAGAAAATTTATCGACAAAACTCGGGATCAAAATACCTGCTACCCGCACAACTATAAACACATTTATGATACTGTTATGGAGTTAATGATAAATGGACGGATTTTAGAGTTGACTTTAATATAAATGTACTGGTTTTATAGATTGCAAAATTGTATAGGTTTGTTTATAACAGATATAAAAGATAGTCTATGTTTGCTCTGTGCAGTCATAGTTTGTTTGGTTCAGAGTAAACATTGTCTTGTCTTCCACACAGGTATGATTTCCAGTTTAGTTCTTTATAACAGTCTGGTTTGGGGGTGAAGTGACAGCCTACCAATTCTTTGTTTTGAAAGATCCAGCTTCAACTATTGCTACATACTAAACAGGGCTTTAAAAATTGCCAGTACTCACCACAAAGTGTCTATAAATGGTACCAGCTTTCGTCACAGTGTCTAAAAATGGTACCAGTGTTCGTCACAAAGTGTCTAAAAAAAATACTAGTTTTCGTCACAGGCTGTCTAAAAATGGTGCAAGTATTCGTCACAAAGTGTCTAGAAATGGTGCAAGTATTTGTCACAAAGAGTCTAGAAATAGTGCAAATATTTGTCACAAAGTGTCTAGAAATGGTGCTAGTATTTGTCACAAATTGTCTAGAAATAATGCAAGTATTTGTCACAAAGTGTCTAGAAATGGTGCAAGTATTTGTCACAAAGTGTCTAGAAATGGTGCAAGTATTTGTCACAAAGTGTCTAGAAATGGTGCAAGTATTTGTCACAAAGTGTCTAGAAATGGTGCAAGTATTTGTCACAAAGTATCTAGAAATGGTGCTAGTATTTGCCAAACAATGTCTAAAAATTGTGCCAGCAATGGTCACAAAGTGTCTAATTATGGTGCCAGTATTAGTCACAAAATATCTAAAAATGTTACCAGTTTTCGTCACAAAGTGTCTAAAATTGGTGCAAGTATTTGTCACAAAGTATCTAAACCCACACACACGCAAATCTCATCAGATTTGCAAGAATTAATTCTTCTCATGCAGGAAATCAGCTTATTTGTATTCCAGTAAACTTTTCTGTCCCGATCAACGCACCATGTGTGATAATCTACAGTACATGTGAGTCATCAAGTGAATCTGGTAGTCTGGTAGTCTTAGTTTCAGCTTCGTAGCAAACGGGTCACCCCATATTTGCTCCGCTCCTGTGCCAACGAAAAACACACAGAATGTTTATCACAGTCCCTTGTGGAATGATTAACATACCGCTGTCTCAGGGTCAAATTAGTGCTTACGTATTGCAGTTTCTTTAACCTTTGATCCAAGAATGCCATAGAAATCTGGCTACAAACTATCACATGCAACAAAGTATATATAGTGTGTCAGTTTTGCTTGTGCTTATTTTCAGCCTTAAAAAACGTCTACGAGGTCTGCTGGGTCTGAAAGAGTTAACTTTCGGCAGCGCATCTTTGTTGTTGACGCTGGCTCGTCAGCCGAAGATCTTGGGTTTGAGTTTGCATCGACGCGAATTTTGTTCCATAACTTACCACGGTTCCCAAGTCGAGTCAGCCTGCAATAAGTACTAGGTAATTTCCTGGGAAGTAAAGGCGAGGTTTCTTCCTGTTTTCTTCTCAGTGTTCAATATCTTCTAAAACCTGTAAACCCCCCTCACACACACTCCCTTCCCCACACACACTTCTTTCTCCACACACACTCCCTTTCTCACACACACTCCCTTTCTCACACACACTCCCTTTCTCACACACACTCCCTTTCTCACACACACTCCCTTTCTCACACACACTCCCTTTCTCACACACATACTCCACCTCCCCACACATTCCTCGCTCCCCACACAAACTCCCCCTGCCCGCAACACCCCCATACACACTCCACCTCCTCCACACACACTCTCCTCCCCACACCATCCCCTACACACATTCCCACTGCCCGACCCCCCCCCTCCACACACTCCCCCTTCTCCACACACACTCTCCTCCCCACACCATCCCCTACACACATTCCCCCTGCCCGCCCCCCCCCACACACTCCCCCTTCTCCACACACACTCTCCTCCCCACACCCTCCCCTACACACATTCCCACTGCCCGACCCCCCCCCACACACTCCCCCTTCTTCACAAACACTCTCCTCCCCACACCATCCCCTACACACATTCCCCCTGCCCGCCCCCCCCCACACACTCCCCCTTCTCCACACACACTCTCCTCCCCACACCCTCCCCTACACACATTCCCACTGCCCGACCCCCCCCACACACTCCCCCTTCTCCACAATACTCTCCTCACCACACCCTCCCCCTTATCCCCCCTGAATTAGTCTTTAAATGTGTGGATTCTCTGTTCTTTTGCGTGTCCAACTGATCCCACACAGCCTTTACCACGTCCGCTTAAGCATAAAGTAGCTCATCGCCCAGAGGCACGAAAGCAGCTAATCTATCACATGCTCGTTGCCTCAGACACCTGAATATCTTCGACCAGAAAATCCATGATACGCTCCTGTTCCGAGTCTTATTAACTAAGACACACCACTCTGCTTCTCCTACGATGCCAGTTTCAAGTTTCCAAAGCATCTTCTGTGAGTCTGTTGCAATTAATACATGTCCGGCCATCGGGAAACTGTCGTTACCACCTCCACCTCCATTCTCATACTTGTTGTAGTTATGATTTTATAATAATGTTTATTGTTTGTCTTCGGTAGAATCATCAAGATGAAAACAACACTTATATTATCTTTGATCGCGCTGGCTTCAATTCAAGTTGTGAAGGCTGACATCGATTACTCACTTGCATGGAAGTATTATTTGTGGAATCAGGCCTTACAAGCAGCTAACCAGGTAATCGCACAATCTCATGCCCATATAAAACAAAAACAAAAAGCGCGTGCAATTTGATGTGTGTTGCCAATTTTGCGACACTCCATTAACTGTGTCGGCTCTGTGGCTAAGTCAATGCGAACGCTTCGTAATGCCGGGATGCCGGGTTCGATCCCAGCTGCAGGCCATGCGCCTTGCGTTGGTTTCGACAGTGGTATCAAGAAAGCCGACCGTCCAGTCAGCAATGGCAAACTACTGGACGTAAATTTGCCTAGCAAAACCACACAACAGCCAGGGGCTGTTAGGGTTGGTTCTGCAAAGTCCTGTAAAGGATACGCAACTAACTTAACCATTAACTGTAATCATGTTGAATATATGTTTTGAAGCTGTGACTGTTCCCTTCTCATACACCGCAACCAAGACAAACTAAAATCTAGATGTTTGCATTATAATTTTGTTTTATATTAAGACGTGATAATTAACAAGTTGCATGCCAAATTTTAACAATTATTACCAAACGGTTACTAAGTTACGTTTTGAAGTAAGACACGACTTTTGTAACGGACTATAGTTGTATGCCTGTTGCCAGGAATGTAGAGTTGTGCCACTTGGCCACTGACAACCAAAATGTCTGATGCGAGAATGACAATCTCTGCCAAAGTTGCCGCATCGAAAGAATGAACGAACGAACGAGCAAACTAACGAACGAACGTAAGGACTGTGATTTTTTTACGTGGAGTTGAACTTCTAGCAATTTCCCCTGGTCTCTGGGTAGTGAGATCAGACGCCCGTGTGCATTTTTGCGCAAGTAAAATATTCCTTGGCATTTGAAAATCAAAAAAGAGTAACCTAGCGACGCTGCCCGGGCAAAAATTGTGACTTCAAAATCTCCCCAAAGTATGTCATGATTGTAGACATTCTGCAGCCAGATTAGCTGTTATCCAAATTGGCAATGCTTGCAAAAGGAGGTAAGGGTATTACCACTTTATCTATTAGTGTAAGCTATCTATTCGGTATTAGTAATAGCAGCAGCAGCAGTTGCAGCAGAAGGATCAGCAGTAGTAGCAGTAGAAGTATTAGTCGTATTATCAGCAGCAGGAGTAGTAGTAGCGTCAGCATCAGTAGCAGTTGTAGTAGTAGCAGCAGCAGCAGCAGTAGAAGAAGAAGTAGTAGTAATAGTAGTTGTAATAGTAGTAGTAGTGATGATTATATTAGAGCAATAGTAGAAGTAGATACAATCAATATACACAACACAAATCAATCAATCATAAATCATAATCATAAAAAAACCACATTAGTGTGGTGGTTGTGGTAGTAGTGGTGTTACTACTACTACTACTGCTACTACTACTACTACTACTACTACTACTACTACTACTACTACTACTACTACTACTACTACTACTACTACTACTAGTAGTAGTAGTAGTAGTAGTAGTAGTAGTAGTAGTAGTAGTAGTAGTAGTAGTAGTAGTCATGGTGGTAGTAGTAGTGGTAGTAGTAGAAGTAGTAGTGTTGGTAGTAGTGGCGGTGGTAGTAATTAGTAGTGGTGGTGCTGGTGGTAGTATTAGTAATTGTAGTGATGGTGATGGTGATAGTAATAGTAATAGTGGTGGTTGTAATTGTAATAGTGGTGAAGTGGTAGTAGCGGCAGTGGTGGTAGTAGTAACACTTGCAGTAGTGATAGTAATAGTAGCGGTGGTAAAAGTGGTGGTAGTAGTAGTTGTGATGGTGGTAGAAGTAGTGGTGATGGTGGCAGTACTGGTGGTGGTGGTGATGATGGTGTAGTAGTAGTGGTGGTGGAAGTAGTAGTAGTAGTGGTGGTGGTGGTGGTGGTGATGGTAGTAGTAGTAGTGGTGGTAGTGACGGTAGTAGTAGTGGTGGTGGAAGTAGTAGTGGTGGTGGTTATGGTGATGGTAGTAGTAGTAGTGGTGATGGAAGTAGTAGTAGTAGTAGTCGTACCAGTAGTATTAGTAGTAGTAGAAGTATCAGTAGTAGTTTAATAGTAGTAGTAATTAGAGTGATGGTGGTAGCAGTAGCAGTGGTGGTGGTCGTAGTGGTAGTAATAGTAGACCGAAGTCTTTTTAAAAAAACATCACAACTTACATCAAAACATACAGCACAACATACATCACAACATAGAAAAGAAAATAATTAACATCTAAAATGTGATAAGAGTAAAACTGTTTAGATAAATGCATGTTGGATACTGATAACACCTGGACTAAAAACGCCTAGGCTGTGGATGAGACGATTTTCCCAATCAAGGCGCGTAGTTTAATCGCCAGAGCAAGATCTTAAAGCTGTGACAGATATATCCTATTTACCTCTGTGGTCAGAGCTGTTAAAATGGAGAGGGTTTGACATCAGTCACCCCCAAATTTTCCCAATTTTTTTGCCTTTCTTTTTACTCCATCTATCCATTTCTTTCTAGGTCGGCCTCTTGACTTGTAGTTAGCTGTTCTCATTCAGTAATGTCTAGACCAGTGGTTCTCAACCTTAGTAACGCCGCGACAATTTAATACAGTTCCTCATGTTGTGGTTACCCCCCCCCCCTTTTTTTTCCCCCCCAACCATACAATTATTTTCGTTGCTATTTAATAACTTCAGTGAGTCGACGTTTGCTGCAGGAGAGCCTAGCATATGAAAACCACGACTTCCAGCTTAAGAATGGAGGTGGAGGCGGTCACTGCAGCTTTCCGCTGGCTAGAGAACACGACACGCACACATCGTGACTGTAACTGATTCAGAAAGCATGCTGAGGAAGATCAGAACAGGTATGCTTCACTGCAAAGGACACGGGTGAGGAGTATTGTCTGGATTTTTTTTTCACCGGGGCACGCCGGTGTGTTGGGAAATGAACAGACGGACAGACTGGCTGGCTCAGCACAGCTTGGTGGAATACTGATGCATGATAAGGCAGACGTGGCTAGTGCCTTTTGTACAGTTCGGAGGAGCAGATGGATCACCACAGTCTGGTGAGATTGATGCAGAGGAGGAGGGGGTGGGGGGGGGGGGAAGTAACAACAGACTCTGGCAGATGCTCCAGGCTCAGAGGAAAGGCAAAACGGACGTTGAATAAGAATGCTAATGAAACCATTAGTATCGGAACTCTTCGCTGGCTGCTGAAGATGGGGACGGAGCGCTTATCGGAACGCCCTGAGTGATGTTCTTGAATCAACTCAACTCAACTCAACTCAACTTTAGTGAATATTTTTTTCCCGATAGTCTTAGGCAAACCCAGTGAAAGGGTCATTCGACCGAAAAAAGGGTTCGTGACCCATAGTTTGAGAACAACTGCTCTGGATGCTTCCTGATTGTGTTCCATTCTGACCAAATGACCGAACCATTTGATTATTCGATATTCTATGAAATCGTTTACTGGTACTGTGGTACCATTGTTCTCAGTTCTTAGTTGGGGTTAGGTTTACCCACATCACCCCAAACAAAGTAAATCGCTTTTCATTCACAAGTTTGTTCGGCTGGTCGACTTTCCTGAAGTTACAGGTGTGTCGCGCTCTGTTGTTTGCTTCCTGTGGTGTCTTGCATTTACGTTTTCATTTCGAAAAAGAAAATGCCTGTGACACAGGTTGCAGCACTCTCTGGGGGAAAAGCGCTGGCGTGATGAAATATAGGACACGCGATATTAGCGGCATCACGGAACACCCCCATAACCCTGTGCCAGGGTAACAGATTCAGGAACTACCTATCAGAAGGGACCTAGCGTGTATTTGGGTAGGGCGTAGGGAGGTTAATGTAACTTTTACCTTTCGTTGTTGACTCTCACATATATTATTTTTATCATTATTTTCTTAATTATATTATTATTTTGGTTTTTTAGTGCGGCTATCAAGGACAAACATGCGGTGTATTCATTGGCGAGTGCTGCTACAACTACGGGCTGGTATGTCAGCCATACTATGCTGGAGATTGGGAAGGCGTTTGTGTTCCTGGAGGACAACCCGTTGCTTAAAGATCCAGACAATCTGACCATATCCTCAGTAACATCGATACCCCTGATAGAACCTCAGCCCAAAGACCCACCTACTCTGACTAAACATACACCCACATGTGTACCCCTGTTAAAGCCATTAATTTGCAGACTAAGTTTCTTCTTCTTCTTCATCATCTTCTTCCTATTGTCAGTGCTATGTGACGTTTGTAGTCATGTCTATCCATAACCTTTTGTCTCGTGTACTTTCTGTCAGTTCTAATTCACATAAAGCTACTTTGACCAACCTAGCTACACCCACACCTGTACCCCTGTTAGAGCCTCAGCTAACAGACTAAGCTACTATGACCAAACCTACATTCACATCTGTATCCCAACTAGAGCCTCAGCTTAAAACGCCCCCTCTCGGTTATCTATCTACAATGATGATTGTTACAGCCAATTGCCTTTTGTTCAGAAACGAATCATTCAGAATAAACAAGTATAACTTATTGAAGTTGTTATTTAATTGATTCTCCGTGTCATATTTATCGTCGTCAGATTATGTTGTTTACAGATGGGCTCCACTATCGGCATCTTTTGATACATGTGGGATGCAATTTTGTGTTCTTTGAAGCCCCAGCCTGGCTTTTGCTGGGAGCCCTGAATATAGCTGGGGCATAGATACGGCCTAACGGCTGAAAGGGGTTTCTGGGACCTCTCCACGCGTGATCCTCATCCGCATGGTGGCACTTTGTGTCACCGTGTGTTTTTCACTTGTGTGATATCCAGCTGGGGTTCAACTACCTACCTACCTTTTGATACAACAAGTATTCACAATTTTAATTGGTCGTCTTTTACGACATGCAAACTAAGGGACCGTGGGACTATCCCCTCCCCCTCCCCCGAAACAGGGCCCCTGAACCCCCATGGGAATTCACATAATTGAAAAATTGAGGGGCCTCATAAATAGGGTTTTAAACAAAAAGGGTTCAAAATTCCTTGGACAGTCAAAGAAATCAACCGCAATGTTTTGAAAGAAATGTGAGCTGGTACACATTTTATCACAAAAAGCAAAAAGAGACATTCATTATTTTTGATCATGTTATAAAAGTCGGCGTCTGTGGCTCAGGCGTTGCGAACGAGCTTCGTAATGACGGGGTGCCGGGTTCGATCCCAACTGCGGGCCCTGCGCCTTGCGTTGGTTTTGACAGTGGTATCGAGGTTGTTGTGGTTTTTCTAGGAAAATTTACATCCAATATCAAACTACTGGTTGTAAATTTTCCTAGAAAAACCACAACAACCAAAAAAAAAAAAAAAAAAAAAAAAAAAAAAAATAATGGGGTTCGGTTCTGCAACGTCCTGTAAAGGATACGCAACTAACTTTTATTATAGGAAGTAAACTGGAGCAAGTTTGGAAAACAAACTATGAACAATAATACAGAGGAAACCAACGCGAGAATCAATCAATCAATCGATCGATCAGTGAAGAATTGACATTACGTACACATCGATCGTCTATTGGCTTGCCGGTAAACGACTTCGTCGCCTTTCGGAACAGTATTTGGGTCTGTCTCCTTTGATCGCATCAACATCGCAGGAATACTTTTCATGAGTTTTGTTGGCGTACAATGCTAAGCTATATCATTTACCGCACTTAACATAGTCACAATTATAACCTAAAGCCTCTCCCCCCCCTCTTTTCAGTAGCAAACGAAGAGTTGACTTGCTAACAATACCAGTTACAACCTGATTAAAAGTCCAGCTAAGTTCTCCCTCAGTGGTGAATCTCTTTTAGAACATCTAGTCTTTCGATGTCGGGAATCTGTGTGTACTCCAGTGAACTGTTCAATAGATCGCAGGTCTTCACAACGTCCGCTTTATCATAGAGTAGCCAAGAGTGGCGGCAGCAGCTAACCTATCAGCCTGCTCGTTACCTGACACACATGAATCTCCTGGACAGAAAATCCATGTCCTGACCTCAGTCTTATCAAGTGATGGAAGCCACTTTGCACACGGGAGACCAGAAGATTCCTGACTGCCGTGTTACATGGTCTGAGATCGCAGACTGTAGAATGGCACAATCGCCCACGCCAGTAGGAGAGGCACTTGATTGTGATAATAAAAAGGGATTATTCATGTTTCTGCGAGACATTCTCGACATCTATATGTAGAGTATACCAGATACAACGACACCCCTGCTTAAATTTTTAATTGGAATCACCCTTGACGTCACCTGGACGTCCCGACCAATCAGCTGACGTCCTGAGGCCAACGTCATTTCTACAAGATTTTAAGAGAAAACAGACTCCATGGCAACTTTACTATTTGCCGTCCATTTTAGGATGACATTTTTTGTTATTTGAAGCCCTACTCTGGCTCTTGCCAGGGGCCGCAATATAGGCAGGCCATAAATATGACCAATTGGCTAAACGCGGTTTCTGGGACCTCTCCACGGCAATCCTCATCCACTAGGTGGTACTTTGTGTCATCGGGTGTTTATCGCTTGTGTGATGTCCTGGTGGGGTAGAAAGTCAGTCAGTCAAGGCAACCTTCTCCGCCCTTTCTGGATCTCTATATGCCTTCTCCAAGAGCTATAAATCTACTTATACCACTTAAACAGTCTGTAGATCCCCTTCCACATCCCGCACAATCTCAAGACACCCTTTTACTTCCCGCACAATCTCAAGACACCCTTTTACTTCCCGCACAATCTCAAGACACCCTTTTACTTCCCGCACAATCTCAAGACACCCTTTTACTTCCCGCACAATCTCCAGACACCCTTTTACTTCCCGCACAATCTCAAGATCCCGTTGTACGCCATGAGCAGTCATGCATAATTGGCAGCATCAAGAAGCTCCGGCTCAAGAAACTATCTCCGGCCCCGCCGGAGTGACAGAAAATGAAGGAGCAGACAGACTGGCCGTTTCTGCAGTTGTTAGTGGAGGAAGAAGTATTGACATGGAAAACATACAGACTGCTCTGCGTTCCAGAGACTTTGAGACAAAGGGTCAGAGACAACAAAACCATCTGTTGAAACTGGGTGTTAAACGAGAATAAACTTGCATAAACCGGTTACCAGGCAGAGAAATCAGATGTGCCTGTGAACTCCTACTGACTGGACAATAACTGCGTACTGGGTAATGACCAGAGAGATAGATTGGCTGGATATGCACCACTGAGTGGTGAACTGATGCATGGCATGCAAATGTGATCAAGGCCCTTTGGGAACAAGCAACGGAATCAGTAGAGAAACAAGATTATTAAGGCCTGGAGATATTGAGGCACCTAGGTGTAACCAGAGGGTCTGGTCCGCTCACTACACTCAGAGGTAAGGCAAGACGGATATAACCAAATTGTGACCGGTACCATCGGTATTGGAAATCTGTGCTGGCTGCTAAAGATGAGGACGGAGCATGTATGAGAATGCCCCGAGTGCTGTTATGTCAATTCTTGACTCAACTCAACTCAACTTATACTGGGTAAGGTGAACATAGAAACACTGAGCTGTTAATGCAGAGGTCAATGCTCTCATCGGTGAAAATTCAGACGAAGCAGATGCACTAATCTACACAGACGGATCCGTTATACGCCAAAGAAGAAGCGCATGGGCATTTACAGCACGCTCAGCGGGCAGAACAGTCAAAGAAGCCAACGGCGCCTTCTCCATGACAACCAGCAGCATGACGATGGAGGTGATGGCAGTGACGCAAGCGCTTACCTGGCTTGAAACACAAAAATACACCCGCGTGTGTATACTCAGTGATTCAATGAGTATGATCCGGAGGGTTCAGGCAGGTTCAGTGCGAAGACAATGGCTTGAATCATTACAGAAGTCCACTGTTCGTGGAGTCACCTTTATTTTTGTTCCGGGACACGCAGGCGTCGATGGAAATGAAAGAGCTGACAGGTTGGCTGGATCCGCTATCACTACCGACGGTCGGCCTATGGATCATGCTGATATTATCAATGCCCTCAGAGAAATGGGAAGAATAGAGGACTTTGGTGGCAGTGAATCCACATCACTCGCCAGAATGGCAGACTTGGGAATTAAGATCGGCACAGCAAAAAACGAGCACCAGGACCAATGGAAGCTAGTGACAAGACGCTCGCTTGCCGACTTGAGGATTTTGGGTTCGAGTCAGCAACTGTTGGAGTTTTTAAAAAAATAATTCCGGTTTCCGTGTCGACACAGGGTGAAATGGAAGCAACAACTGTCCTCATTGACTACATCCCTAAGTTGGGAGTCTAGAACTGACATCACAGTACTCGGGACATGTACCCATCTCCGGCAGCAAGCGCAGAGTCTTTCAGTCTAATGGTACGAGTAACAATCTGTCTGTATGCCTGTCTCGCCCTTCCCCTGAGTGTTGACCATCGGCCATAATCTCTGGTCAATCCTCGCTCTACAATTCTCATCTCATCACGATGACCTATTTGTTTCTCGCTCCCAAAGGACGATTACAACATCTGGCTTGTCAAGCAAAAAATTACCACTAGATGGCGCGAAACCAGCCAGTCTGCCTGCCTGTTAATGACCCAACACACTGGAACTCACTGAAAAAATATTTTTGGGATACTTTTACTTAGTCGCTCGTCTTCTAAATTGGGGTGTGGCTTTTGCCAGAGCGATCGCCAGCAGTTTTCTTTCTGGCTCTGTTCCATTCCAGTCCTCTGTCAGTCAGTGAACACTAGGTCGTCCTGGTGGTCTGGTTCCCTGGTTCTTTGCCTCCCATGCTGCATACATGTCCGAACCATCCTAATTGTGACGATTCCACTCGAGTTTGTAAGACTTGGGTTTCAAAGGTAATGACGTATTGTCAGACTGCTAATTTTGTCCCTTTTTGTCACTTAGACTACCTTTCTTGGATACCTCATTTCTGAGACCTGAAGCTGGCTGGAGTCTGTGCGCTGTTGTCATTGCCCATGTCTGGCACCCATAGGTTAGGATTGGTACACAGGTAGAGCGGTAAACAGTCATTTTTTTTGCCCTGGCTAAGAAAGCCCAGGTTTATGGCATTGAGAAGCTGCCCAACAGC